GCGGCGGGCAAGCCCGCCGGCCCAAAGTTCCACCACTATTAGAAAGTGTGTAAGAGTTTATTTGATAGGAGGGAAAAGTGAGAGCAGGATAAAGGTGATGGGATTAGTATAAGAGTTTTAATCAGTTGTCATAATTGCAAAGTAGAATTGTAAATAAGAGATATGGAATTAGATGAGAGAAACTGGAGCACAGTGCAAAGCTCTACAAGTCGTGGGTGTAAATTGTCAGAATTAGAAGTTTAATGACGAGTTACCAAAACTTTACAATTTCAAGGGTAAATGTGCAAAATCTATAGTCATTGAAATATAGCAAATCGTAAAAAAAAAAAAAAAATACGAATAACATAAATTAATATCATTAAAATATTTACCATGTAATTTTGTAGTATAAACGTGAACGTTATCATAATAATTAGTTTGCAATTTTTTTATTTTTAAATGTTTTTAACATTTGTTATATTTCAATTCCGTCCTACTAAATTTTCCGTCTAACGTAATTTTTACAACCCATAGAAGTGGTTTTTCCCAAGTTGACCAAAGAGGAAGGATGTAGAGGCCCAAACTACAGGCTTTCCTTTCTCATTCTTCCTAAATAAAACATAAAAAATAAAAAAATAAAACAAAATAAAGTGGTGGCAAACGGAGGTTGATTCGATCGAAAACTCAAAACTTGGACAACTATATGGCAATCTCCAAGTCCAATGCTTTGATCTGAGAGGGTGAAGCTGCTGTTGTGGAGGATTAATATTTTAGAAATCTGGATATTCTTCCCATGCATATATATATATATATATAAATAAAATTATTTTGATATTTTGTATTATAACGAAACATGCTCTTAATATTTTATTTTTTTGATAATATTAAAATGGTATATCGACATTTTTAAAAGTATCTTTTTGATACTCTAAAATTGATTTTTGAGATGTAAAACAACCTTAGTATCATTCTATTTAATTAATAAAAACTACTATATTAATATTTGGAAAAAAAAATCATGAGCTTTTTTATTTTATTGTTTTCTTTTAAATATTTTAAAACTTATAATATTTTTAGATTTCTTTTTTTTAAAGCAAAATTTTATTTTGGTACTTACTGTTATATCGAAATTTGAGTTTGGTACTCTCTGTTTTTAAAAATTTCATGCTAGTACCCTGACTTTTTAAAAAATCTTTTTTGGAACATATGAGCGATTTTTTGGGATACGAAAAGATAAAAGTGCTCTTATTGTAAAAATTCATCTGTTGACTAGAATATTGAAGGAAGAAAAAGGATTTTGAAGAAATGAATTTTTAAAAAAGGATTATGCTCTACAGGTATAAAATTTTTTAAAATTTTAAAATTCTAGTCAACAAATGAATTTTTACAATAAGGGTAATTTTGTCTTTCGTGTTTCAAAAAATGACTTTGAGGTATCAAAAAAAGATTTTAAAAAAGGTCGAGGTACCGGCATGAAATTTTAAAAATAAAGGGTACCAAACTCAAATTTCAATATAACAGAGAGTACCAAAATGAAAATTTCTCTACAATATTGATTTCTATTTAATTGATAAGAAGGATAGTTTAGACATTACATGTCCTAAAAATTAGTTTTAAAATACTAAGAAGATATTTTTAAAAACGTCAAGATATCATTTTAATATTATAAAAAATATAGAATACTAAGAGCATGTTCGTATTTTATTAGAATGATTTTGTGCTATATATATATATATATACATATGAATGAGCGATTACATTTCAAAGCATTGTATTGCAATGGTTTGGTTGGGGTTGGACGCTAGTAGCTACCGGCTCTTAGAATGATTTTTTGAGTTCTTGCATCTCCGTTTGGATCCTGCTGTTTCGGTCATGAACTTTCACGTTGCCAAGGATAATCCATTTTCTCTTGCTTGGAGTTCTCCTTGACGTTAACATTGTATTTGATCCGTGAAACCGAGAAATAAGCTCTCGTGCTTTGAGCTTGTCTAATAAACTTTTTAGGAATAAAATCATTTTGATACTGCATGTTATAGTAAAATATGTTTTTGATGTCTTATGTTTTTTATAATATTAAAATGGTAACGACATTTTTAAAAATATCTTCTTAGTATTATGAAGTTAATTTTTGAGACATATAATGTCTAAATTATTATTTTTATTAATTAAATAGAAATTAATATTTTTTTTAAAAAAAATCTAAAAATATTTTAAAATACTTATAAAAAATAACAAAATAAAAAAGTTTTTATTTTTTTTTAGATTTGTTGGTTTTTAGTTAATTAAATAGAAGCGTATTAAAATCAATTTACGTCTCAAAAATCAACTTATAATACTAAGAAGTTGTTTTTAAAACTATTGACGTATCATTTTAATATAATTAAAAATACAAAATATTAAAAGCATATTACGATATAACATGAAGTGCCAGTAGGATTTTATCCCAACTTTTTATTCAGCCGGTAAAGAAAAAACACTATTCTTGCATGTTTGTCAAAGTCATGACGCAACACCCGAACTAGTTTCACCAAATGTTACTAATTTAGAACTTAAAAAAAAAAAAAAAAGAAAGAGAATAACTAGTTTCACCAAATGTTACTAATTTAGAACTTAAAAAAAAAAAAAAAAAGAAAGAGAATAAAAAAAGGTGCATGTAAAGACCATACACGATTTTCTTTTTCTTTTTCTTTTTATTTTCTCAAAAGAAATTCATACTATTTCTCCATGACATGTAAATATTGAATGAAATTCCCAATCTTTGCCTCATTATAAGTATGTACAGTTTGCCTCATTATAAGTATGGATAGTACTATCATCATGCATATATGCAAAGCAGCATCGATTGCGTAAAACTATTGATGGTACGAGACTGCAGGATTTTTTTCAGCAACGTGGCAGAAATTGTCATGAAAGGTGGAACGATAAAAAAAAAAAAAGGAAGACTTGGGGTGAAAAATTCTCTCTTCCAACAGCTGCTGACCAAAGATGAAAACATCGGTACGGTGAAAATTTGTCTCTCTTCCAACGTTAAAGATGAAAATATGGGTATCAATAAAAATATTATTACTTTAATTTTACAAAAATATTTAAAAAAAATACCGATATTAATAAAAATATTAAAAATATTTATAAAAATAATAGAAATTTACGTTAGAATATATTTTTAATGCTTACTGATAGCATCAATATTAAAAAGATATATAAATAAATAAATTTTATATTAATTTCTTATTAAAAGAAAAGAATGTTAAATTTATTTATTTACTTAATAAATTACTATATAGTCAATAATTATAAAATTGTGTAAAAAGATATTTTAGTGATTACATTCATAATACTGTTATTCTTAATTTTAAAAAACATGAGAAAAGAAATGAGATTATGTTTTACTACATCATCGAATAGCCAAGTAAGCACTTAAAAACCCTAATCCTATTAATTTACTTTTCAATCCGATTACATTTCTCTTTATATTCCTTTATGGGTTTGGTAAACGCACTCTCAATCCCAACCATTAATCTATAATGAACTCATTTTAGCCCTCAAAATCCTATATTAACACATGTTTTTCATTAAGTCAATTCTTTTATGTTTCCAAACGCGCTCGGCCCTTTTTCAGTATTTTGTGGTCTGACTAATTGTTAATCAATTTGATCATGCATTATGTTCCAGGACCATGCGAGTTCTTTTACTTGACAATTCTCGTATTCTACACCAAGGCCTTAAACATGTTCTGTTATTCGTTTACTTGGAATAATTTAAACATCATCCTTTCTATTGATTCTTATTGCCACATCACCGTAAATACGTTGTTTTTTTATTACTTTTATTAATATGTAGTTGTTTCATAAAGGGTTTATTTTCACTTCTATAGTAATCTTTAACTCACTACATTTATTGAATCATTTCTCGTTATTAATAAATAAATTTAATTTAGTAATTTACTAAAATATGTGTGGTTATAGACATAGGCCTCGTTCATTTCACCGATTCGAGTTTTTAATTTTAAGTTTTTACAGTAAAAAGTTATCAGAAAATGTCACATCTAACATTTTCTGCTACAGTGAAAAGCTCTCAGAAAATGTCACATCTCAGTTCAAATTAAAAATTCAAATCTGCGAAGTGAACGAGATCATAGTCTATTTCTACATCCGACTCCACTACAATGTAAAGAGTTTGAATCCCCCACTTCTAACTAAAAAAAAAAGGTAAAACAAAGTAGATCATTCACTAGTCACTACAATTTCCCCCAGAAACAAATTTAAACGTACAAGAATCAAGAAGATTCTCTCAGTTTTTGACGGAAAAAAAAAAAAGGTTATCCTAATATTACATGATTCATATAAGTTGAAACGTTGCACTTCTCTCTTTTCTTAAGCCAAAGTTTGAGCAAAATGAAGATGGGATTCATTTTGAGCTAAAATGATCCCCCTTGTTTTCTAAGTTCAAACAAAGTAAAACCATTAAAACTTAGTTCTAAGTTACAACTTTCAAATTGGGCAATACAAATTCGGAACATATAATAAGCAAGCAGAGTTTAGTTGAGATAACCACGCTTAAAATAATCACTTGCGCAGCTCCACAAATAAAATAACTGGAGACCAAATTAAAATATTTAGTTCGGAAAAAAAAAAAGAAATCTTGAACAATCTCAATTTCTCAAACCAGATATGTTTCTTCCTTTCCGTAGACCATTGAATTGACTAAGTCTCCTCTTCTCCGATTCTGGAAATTTTTTTTTTCTTAAAAAAAAAAAAAAAAAAAAGGTAAAAATCAACGAAAAAAAAAAGAGAACCTGTTAGTCCCCAGTAAAAAATTTTTTTTTTTTTTTTTTGAAATTTCTATTTTGAGTTACAGTTTCCACTTATGTTAACGGATATTTTGCCTACACGAGGATGAACAAAAATGTCAAATTTTAAACGAATAAACTTTCTTGTTTTTTCCGATGGTAAATGCCAGCTTTTCCAAAGAAACAAACAGGGACCAATTAAGAAAAACGATACGGAAACTTTTTAACGTACCTACTGGAGAACGAAAAGATTCCAGCTTTTCGTTTCTTTTGCTTTCTTTTTTGGTTCTCTCAATTGTGAGCAGAATTCGGAGAGGAAGACGACGACGGCCTCTCCGAAACGACGCCGTGTCCGCCGTCCTCCTCCTCGCCGTGGATTCTCGCCGGAATACGGAACACCGGCAAACCGCCTCCGTAGGAGGCGAAACGCGTCCCGAAGATCGACGACGAGGAAGACGAGTGCTGGTGAATGTGCTGCTGTTGCGGTCTCTGAGACGCCGCCGCCGCCGCCACGGCCATCGACGGCATATCATCCCAAGCTCTAGCCAACGGTGTGGAAAAACTGGACTGAAGGGTTCCCCTCTGATTGCTAAACGGCGTCGCCGCGGAGCCTTGCCCTAGCAAAGCCTGCTGGTGCGCCGCCGTCAGCTGCGGCGGCGGCGCGTAGAAAGCGAATCCCCTGCTCTCGCCGCCGCTCGCCTGATCGTGGCCGTTCCACGCCACCATCCTCTGGTAGCCGCTCGACCCGAACCCGACCACGGACCCGAACATCGCCTGCTCGCTCGGAGGCGCGTGGTCCGCACCGCCCTGCTCTTGGAAACAGTGCAACGAGAGCCCCAAATCTTGCGTCGGAAGATTGTCCTGAGGGTAGTTTTGGAAATTCATGGACGAATTTGCCGCCACCGATGTCGTCGTCGGGAAAAACGATTTCATCGTGTCGGCGATGAAATCAGTGTTCTCGCCCGCACTCAATTCCGCTCTCTGGAGCTGAAATCCGTACCCGGACTGCTCCTCCGACCCGATACCCATCTCTCCCGAAACACTCACATTCGGGTCAGCCTCCGGATCCGCGTCGTGGTCCGAATTCCCTGTCGGATGCCACGATGGCAGCTCGGCGAGCTTGTCGATGGCGGACTTAGCCTTCTTGATAAGCCAGTCGACGGCTTTACTGGGCCGGTCGTAGCCTAACCGGTCCTGGACGTCGTAGAATTGGATCGCCGTGTGGGCCGAGAGGCGGACCCGGCGGTCGCGTGGGCCTTTGGCGGTGTAGACCTTGCTGTGGCGGTCTTTCCGGCCCGTGGAGCGGACAATGTGGCCTCCTTGGACTTGGACAATCTCGCCGCCTCCGACACCCTTCATTCGCATGTCGTTTTTGGTGTTGACGATGATTCTCTCCCTTCTGGGTTTTGCATGTTCGGTTTGGGTTTGGTTGAGGATATCTACATGTGGTATTGGCTGGTTTTGGATTTGGTTTTGGGCAAGTGGTGGATGATTTTGGTGCTCTTGCTTTTGTGATGTTGTTGTTGTTGGGTTTGGGATTTGTTGGGGAATAATGGGTCTCACTTGGTTTTGGTGATGATTCCTCTGGAAATCCAGATTCTTAATACTCTTCCAAAGTTTCTACTTTTTTTTTTCTTTCCCTCACTCTCTTTTTGTACTAATGTAAACTATTTGCTTTTGTCTGGATTTTATTATTATTATTATTATTTTTCAGTTTTGATGTTGTGTCTTTGCTTATTGGTTGTTGCTCTTCATCTGCAAACGGGCAGCACCACCCTGAAACCTGATACTTTCTGCTACAGCAGCTACAGCTGCTAATCCCAGAAAAACCTGCCATTGCAATCTTTAAATTTCTAACCCCAACAACACCCCCAAAATAATAAAAATTTATAAATAAATAACCGTGAAGAAAATAGAAATGTATACTTAGAAATTTTATTGTTATTCCAAATTCATGACACTGTACGTGGTAAAGGGGTACTAGATTTTTTGAGTTTCCTCGTGTGGGCAAAATAATTTTGGGAGAAAAAGAAAAAGAAAAAGCAAGAGAAAAAGGAGCAGAATTTTAGGTTTTAAGTTTCAACCTCAAGCTGCAGTATCCGCCATGTCAAATACACGAAAGAAAAGCATTTAACCGAATTCTGAAATGACAAACGATATTATATGATAAGTACTTTTGAACGGATTTGATAGAAACTGTAGGCAGAAAATAAGTGAAAAAAGTTTGTTTTCTTGACACGAAAAGGAAGGAATTAGAGTAACAGATGCGAGAAAAAATCCTACCTTGTCCAAGAGAGAGTTTTGATGCTTCTGGCAGAGGTTGGTCAGAGAGGAGATTATAAATCTTTGGTCATTTATCTCACTCAGCCCCACAAAAAAAGAAAGAAAAAAAAAAAAAGAACACACGCACACACAATATAACCAAAAAACACCAAAAAAAACAATGTCACAACTACAAACCCAAAACTCACACAGACAAAAGTCAGATATATCTCTTTCTCTCTCCTAACCAAACTATTATAGTTCTAGTCCCAACTTCCAATTTCTCAACTCATTATTGTTATTTCTCTCTCTCTGTTTTTTTTTTTTTAAATTACACACGCCCACATTCTGGATGATTAATTTTTTTTAATTTTTGTAAAGTCCCTATAATAACAAAGTGTGGGCAATCACTATGATTGATTAGAGCCATAGTTGATAGAAAGGTGACTCAGTACAATAGCCACCTCTCCCTACACCCACTCCTTTTCAAGGCTCTGATAATGATATCTAACAGCTTTTTTGTGGTTTCTTTCCATCGGTACCCTCACCTTTTTCTTCTTCTTCTCTTTTTATTTTATTTTATTTTTTAAGTTGCACTATTTATGTGTGGTTTCACTTTCTCAGCACCATTTTCTACGTTTTGTATCCCCACAATCATGCTTCCCCATACTCGTGAAAACAGATTATATATTAGTTAATTAGTAAATCATCTCTGTATAAGTTCCTAATTAAGTATTAATAGTTCTAAAAAGTTACCACTCTATCCCTGTTGGTGGGATGTAAATAGAATCCCCTCGAAAAATTAGCATTAATCAATATGTGAACTAACAAAAATTAATACGCATGTGCATCAATTAAGAAGTTAAACAAGTGAGTATCTCTTTGCAAAGCAATACATACGTCAAGACTCAAGACCATAACACAAAATTAAGATCTAGTTCTGTAGAAGAACCAATCATATATAGATTTATAATTTGCTTTTACGTACTCGTTCTTTTACTATACATGTAGAGCCAAACTTTATTACATAGATTAATCGTTTATTTCTTTATCTTCTTTTTTCTTTTTCATTCGCGCCCCTTAAATTGAGGAAGTGGGGGACAACTACGAACACTGTAAACAGTAGTATCCATTAAGATATACACTATCTCAAATAGTTAGGTCATGATCATTAACGACGATACTAGTATATAGATACATACATACATACATACATATATATATATATATATATGCAGTCCCACTCTAGCTAGTTCACATCAAACATAACTTAGGGAACCTAATGTTAAAAATCGTTCGAATTACACATTATTATATAAGAATAATTATTTCAATATGAAATGCATGGCCTGATTTTCTTGGATAAAACTAGGAAGAGACGGATCTTTGTTATTTCAAATTAGAAGCAGATTTAACCAAAGATGCAGAAGTACTCTCGTCTGTCCCCACTATATATATATATATATATATGTATTAATTCTTCAAAGAATAATGCAGTAGCTAGGCATGAAAAGTGTGTCGTTTAATATTATGCCTTCAAACATTGACATGCAATTCCCCACATGATCAGAATTTAAGTGATCTTTTAATCTTGACGTTGCTTTTACTGTACTTTTCCCCTCTTCAAATACTTCAATGAATGTGGATCATCAGTTCGCTACTTGTTCAAAAATTTGCCTCATGATGTCTGTTTCGTTGACACGCATAATTTTGTCATGTTCTTTAATCTCTCTCTCTCTCTCCCCCTCTCTCTCTCTCCTTATTAGGTTAGTAACATATGAGAATCTTGACAAGATCAGCGTCACAACGTGAAGTACTCAAAAATATATTAGAGTTTTAGTAGTAGGGCTCTATGGTAAACTGTAAATCCAAATAGGGTTTTGTCAGATTTGTATAATATTACTTTATTTTGATATGATTTTGATCAATTTTTTTTTATATGATTTTAATCAAATTTAATATTTATAAACATGCAGAAAACTCCAAAATATTGTTGGGTTATATTTCTTATTGAAGCACGCATGAAGTAGCTTTTAGTCTTTTACAAGACGAACCGTGGACTGTAAAAACAAAATAATTAATGAAAGGGGCCTACCGTTTACGGTTCTACTTTCAACCTCTCTAAGAAATAATAAGTAGTGCAACAAAAATTTACAGCTGTTAGAATCCTTTTTGTGGGGTGGGTATTTGTAGAATAGTATATAGATATATAAGCTCGATAAGTGGCGCAGAAGAGAGAGCAGAAGAGCTACTAAAAATATTTGGAGCCATGTGCGCTCCCTTCAGGCCATCATTTATATCTCTTACGTACACGTACCTTATATATGATGTATGTAATCTCTCTTACTGCTTTTACTGCTTCTTACTGTCTCATCAATAGTTGGTCCGTTTTCTAATGATGTCCCAACTTACCATATTTCTAAGAGTGTGCTTGGTAAAGAATTTGATGAACCGGTCCTCTAAACAACCTATAAGTAAAAGTTGCCCTCTAAAGAGTAATATCTTAAGATATTTTTTCATTTATTTTCACAATTAGAATCACAAACTCAAATTTTTGTTATATTATTTTTTTTTACAAAAGTTTAAATTTAATTTTTTTAATTATGTATTTTTTCTTACATAAATTAATTTTTTAACTCAAATTCTCAACCCGTGGAACCAATGTTGATATTAACAACATTCTATTATAATATACCTGTATATTGTATGACTTGAATACGACTTGGCGTTTAGGATCTAGCCTCTCTGCTAAGTGCCCCAAGACTACGGATTTGTCAATTGTCATCGTTTTGGGAAAATGCTTATGATCCTATAGCAAACCAAGTAATTTGCTGATCTGTATTAACGGGTTCCTCAATATTTTATTTACTTATTTTTACTTTCTACAATGAAACAAACAATGAATATATATATATATATATATCTATATATAAACAGCCAATTGAGACAAGCTACTTTCAATATATTGAAATCTAGGGGATGCAATTAAGAAATATAAAAAAAATATCAGTTTTGTGATAAAAATTTGTAAGGGTGAGGTTACTGCAGTAAAAATTTATGAAACGTTATAAAAGGGTCTTATTGGAAGACTGGTTCTTTCTAAAGGAGATAAGCCATGGCTTTTGGTGGATCTAAGTCGACCTCCGGGGGACAATAATTTGTTTTTCCAACCTGAGATTCTTTCATTTTCTCCAGTAGAGGAAGAAAATGATCTCTCCTTATTCTTTGGGGACAAGAGATCAACTAGGCACTTTTTTATTTTATAGGAAAACTACCATTTTTCATTCTTCTTCAGTGATCTGGAATTTTTTTACTAGTAGAATTGATAATAATTTGGCCAAACACTCTGATTAGAACAAGTCTTAAAAACTTAGAGCTCGAAGAGTAAGAGGATTTAATTTGAGAAAATGATAATGTTTTCTAAAGTGTCGTTTCTTTGCGTTTTCTTTTTATTCTGTTTCTTTGTTTTCAGTCTTTATGACTGGCTTCTGATTTTTTTTTTTTAATTTTCTCTATTTTTTATTAATAAAAATTGGAGTGGGAGTTTGATATAGTCGAGTTGTTTAAAGGGTGCCAACTTAGGTAGCATGTGTGAAGCTCTTTTGATAATAATTAGCTTGTCTTTATATAAAAAAAGGGATAAATTTTCTTAATGTCTCATGAACTTTGTATTTTGTTTCAATATGCCTCCCACTCGAAAAGGTTTATTTTAATTCCCGAATTATGTATCCTAATTCAAAATACTTCATATGTTTATAATACTAATAAAATGATGACGTGACACTTCTTATAATGTTATAAATGCCTCTAAACTATTAATTTTAAATCAACTTTCATCTTGAATTATTTCTTTTGTATTAACTTGCCCCCTGAATCATTAAAAAATTGGGGCAACTGATAAAACATCAATAGTTTAGTGGGATTTTATTAAACAACATTAATTCAAGGGATGCTTTGAACCACTTTACATATTTTATGGTGTGAAATGAACCCTTTTTAAATATTATGGGGCGTGTTGAACTAGTGTGCAAAATTATCATCCCTAAGAAAGAGAGAAGGAGAGGGAGAGAGAGAGAATGAGAGTGAGTGAGATAAATTCCTTGCTAATTTATGACAAATATTGCTCAATCACGATAATAGAGCAACTGCTCATTTCTTTTGTATTTGTTCGAGGTGTTTCGATATTAATCTATACGATATACGTATTTTTGTCAATTTGTTATGGTCGTTTGGTAATGTACTTTGCGTTAATTCACATATATGTTTCTCGACTAGCTTATAGTTCTTAAATTATTAGCATTAATACTAGATGTCATGTGGCCGGTGCCCTATTTCTACATGACTTATGATCTTACGAAAAGCTTAACCTAGCTAAATACTGCACATTTCTTTTTCATTTACAAAAAATATCGTACATTCTAGCAAATAATAAAAATAAACAAGCCCACAATATGTCGTTACTTTTTTTTTCCCCAATTGTTTATTTGCCCGGAATGATATATCTAGTTAAATAGCTAGGCTAAGTGGGTAAATATATTTGAAAGTGAAATAGGATATCCTTTTCTTATTCTCTTCTGTATCCAAGTTGAAAAGTTGATATACGCGTGCCTTTGGAGTCTTTTTAGAAGTATACGTCCAAGAATATTTAAACCTAGAATCATATGCCTAAAGTGCAAACTGCAAAGCATGATAAACTTCTTTTCTTTTCGTTTCTTTCTTCTTCTTTTTTTGTTTTTTTTTGTTTTTTTCATTTGGGAAGAAAACGAAGTATGCTAAAATTAGACAAATGAAAGAGAAAAAGGTCCATGAATTGTATATATAGTACGCATGGGGACCTAATCCACGCTTATATCCTTAAGATAATTAACGTTTAGGTTAATTAATTTCCATTTTACAGTACGTACCCTACTTTGTGTAGCAATATATATTCCTTTGAACACACAACCCACAAAAGAATGGGATGCTTAATCAGAGCCAAAAAAAAAAAAAAAAAAAATGAAGAAGGGGAATGGGATGCTTAAAGTTCAACTTTCTGGAAATACATTTTATTGATCTGGGTAGTCTAATTAGATAAATCTGAAAATTTAATATTTTTGTTTAATTTAATTTGAACTAATTAAAAACTTAAAATGGATCCCTGCAGGCTATAAGTTGGAATCAAAATTCAAAATCAACAGTACTACTATACCTAACGCGTCAATGAAAATATTGTACTTTGCACTAACTAATTGT